CTTCACCAGCAGCGGAGACCGAGCAGGTGGACCCAGTTGAGTTTGCATCACCGCTCGAGGACGACGACAATCGCCTTGACGCTTCCTACGACGGCGAGCAGCTGCGGTACCGTACCATGCCCAACATTGTCGGGGACGCGCCCACACCGCCGCCAGCTTCACGTCTCTTCGCCGAGCTTCACCTCACGCACGCCGGCGAGCCGGCCAACTTCGCGGAGGCTGAAGGCGATCCTGTCTGGCAGGCCGCCATGGAGCAGGAGATCAAGGCGGTGGAGCAGAACCGCACGTGGGAACTTGTGGAGCTTACTCCCGGTCGCCGGCCCATCACTCTGAAGTGGGTCTACAAGCTCAAGAAGGACGAGCAGGGCGCGGTGACCAAGTACAAGGCGCGCTTGGTGGCGCGGGGTTTCGTCCAGCAGGAAGGGATCGACTTCGACGACGCGTTTGCTCCCGTGGCGTGCATGGAATCCGTCCGAGTCCTCGCGCTGGTGGCCCAAGAAGGATGGCGCGTCCACCACATGGACGTCAAATCGGCCTTCCTCAACGGCGACCTCAAGGAGGAGGTGTACGTGAAGCAGCCGCCTGGCTTCACCGTCGCCGGGAAGGAGAAGATGGTGTACCGTCTGCGCAAGGCTTTGTATGGCCTACAGCAGGCTCCGCGAGCTTGGAACGCCAAGCTGGACGCCACCCTCAAGGAGATGGGTTTCCAGCAAAGCGACCATGAAGCTGCGATGTACAGGCGAGGGATAGGGGAGGAGCTGCTGCTGATCGGCGTCTATGTTGACGACTTGATCATCACCGGTGCCAGCGCTCAAGCCATAGAAGGTTTCAAGGCTCAGATGAAGAAGGTTTTCGACATGAGCGACCTCGGCCTCCTGTCCTTCTACCTGGGGGTCGAAGTACACCAAGATTCAGCTGGGATCACTCTGAGGCAAACCCATTATGCCAAGAGGATCCTTGAGCTAGGAGGTATGGATGCCTGCAACCCTGCCCATACACCAATGGAGGAGCGGCTGAGGTTGAGCAGGCAGAGCACGGCTGCAGAAGTTGATCCTACCCAATACAGAAGATTGGTGGGCAGCTTGCGCTACTTGGTCCACACAAGACCTGACTTAGCCTTCTCAGTAGGCTTTGTCAGTCGATTCATGGAGAGGCCGACTGCAGAGCACCAAGCTGCCATCAAGCGCATCCTGAGATATGTGGCTGGTACTCTGGAGTTTGGCCTGCACTACACTAAGGCTCCAGGGAGAGCAAGGTTTGTTGGGTACTGCGACAGTGACTTGGCTGGGGACATTGACACCAGCAAGAGCACTAGTGGCACCCTGTTCTTTCTGGGAAGCAATCTTGTGTGCTGGCAGTCAGTGAAGCAGAAGGTGGTGGCTCTATCTAGTTGTGAAGCTGAGTACATTGCCACTACCACAGCTGCAACACAAGCTATTTGGCTATCCAGGCTGCTGGCAGACCTCCTTGGAAGGAATGTGGAAGTGGTTGAACTGAAAGTTGATAGCAAGTCTGCACTTGCTCTAGCCAAGAATCCAGTCTTTCATGAGCGCAGTAAGCACATCAGAATCAAGTATCACTTCATCAGAAACTGCTTGGAAGATGGAAGTATCAGGGCTGATCACATATCCACCACTGATCAGCTGGCTGACATTCTAACCAAGTCTCTTGGAAGATCAAAATTTGAAGAGATGAGGGAAAGAATTGGGCTCAAGCACATCACTTCTAAGGACCACAAGGCTAAAGGGGAGAATTGTCAGTAGTTAGCCTAGTGTTCATGTTTTCCAGTTACCTACTATAGCTATTTACTATTCACTGTCATGTAATTTTTCAGGTTCCTTGGCAACCAAGTTGATCATGGTGCCTTGGCAACCAAGTAGGAATCATAGCATCTGCTTTATGCAGTTAGAATATGCTAAGGAGTAGGTACACCACTTGCTTATATATGCAGTGGTTAGCATCTTTTGTATCTAAGTTGTTATTGCAATTCAATACAATCCAAGCGGCCTGCTGGCCAAGCTGCCCTCTGGCAGCCCCAATTCACCAACAATATTGAATGATTACAAGCATTAAGAACTCTAAGGGACAATTGCAAGCACACACCTTTAACATAGTCCCGAACCTGCTCAACAGTATCTCTTTCAGGATCAACTGTAATGAAAACTGGCACAACATCCAGTTTTGCCTTTTCCTCTGCATATAAGAACATATTATAATGACTAAAAAAATATGCTTAACTTAAACTGTCTACTAGGTCCACTTGGGCGCTTCAGTGGAAATTTTCACCAAGTCCAGTCAAACAAAAATACATAACCTTATATGTACATCTCATTTTGGCTTGCCCATTTACCCAATTATTTGCCTACAATAATATGCCTTCTAGTTTCTAAGTGACAATATAATGCATATTATTGATAGACAATAAGCAGACACAACAGGATCTATGAGGATACTTATATCCAAGGATCAAAAGAATCAAATTGACTTACTAATTTGGTCAATCGCCGCAGCCATTTTCTGGAGTTCATCTGGGCAAATGTCAGGACAGTGTGTAAATCCAAAATAAAACAGAGTCCATTTGCCCATGAAATCCTTTTCAGTAACAGGTTTTCCATCATGATTCAGAAGCTTGAATGGGCCACCAATGGCTGCAGTGCCTACTGATTGCCCAGGCCTCACAGCACTTGTTCTATTCTTCAATTCTGGGTAAGATGGAAGAGAAAAAAAAAATGACAAGATAAACAGCTATCAGAATTCAAGGAGCTAATACCTTCCTACTTCAGATAAATACTTCCAAAAGACACGTGTCCATTCGAAAAAAAAGTAGGGGAAGGTTTGAAATGTTCGCTAAAATAGTAAATGGCGATCTGTTTCTGAACCAGAGGGTAATGATTTTGTCATAGTGCAATGGTGTCAAAACAAAAATACAGTTTACAATATAAGATACAATTACAATTAGCACAAAGTCTTCTGACAATGGTTCCACCGTCCCTATAATGGTTTCTGGCTTTTTGCTGATGTCATTAGGAAGCATGGAAAGAGGAACAGACACCTTTATATTGTTTGTTTAACAAGCTTAGTTTTCTGTTCAACTTTTTTATAACTGCTTAAAAGCTATGCATATATATTTACAGAAAAGCTAACAATAGTACGAAAATGCAAGCAGTGGTTACAGATGAAAATGCACACGAATCATTGCTAACCTATTTTTCTCATTAGTGTAGACTGTGGCCAAATTTGTTGTTAAAAGGCAAGCCAGTATGTAAGGCAGGGCAAGCTTAGGCAACTGGCTGAGTTATGGTTCTCCATTTTGCATACAACAATGAAGAAAGAATTGATGATTGTCAAGGAACGTATGAAACATAGAGTGGTCCTTAGGGAGTGTTCGGCTAGTCAGCTTCGGCTGGCTGGCTGGCCTTTTTTTTCAGCCGGACCAGTGTTTCTCTCACCAAATTCCAGCATGAACAGTGTTTTCCTGCTGCTACAGTGCAAGTTTAATGCCAGCCGAACACTCCCTAGCTTAGCTTGCTCAATCATGGAGGTCACAAATGCAGTAAGGTGTCTCCTGCTTTAATGATTTCATTCATTGATAGTAACCATCTTTTTTCAACAAAACTAAAAAGAGAATTTTCAGTCTAAGAGATGTATATGCTCAACAGAGATTTTATGGAAGGGAGTTTCTAGCAAATCACCAATACAACTCCCCCCAATAGAGTTGTATATTGGGGTGCACCGATATTGTCTTCTACATTTATTGGGGAGATGCCTTTGCAAATCACTAATACGGTAATCGGGGAATGGGGGAGGTATTGGGAAAGGTCCATCTTTCCCTCTATTTGAGGGGAGTTCACGCGAAATATTGGTGGTCACCATTAAAAAGGGATGCGAAGGGGGATCTGTTGGAGCAAGAGGGAAAAACTCAACTCACATTTTTTTTAAGGAAAGGGGATCTGCTGGAGATGCTTTTATATGAAAACGCTGAGATAGACAATGCTAGACATGAAAAGTAGGTTCTTGAAGAATAGATAAAAGCTCTAAAATTCCCAGTTCAGCACTCATAATAAGTGGACATAACAATAAACATGAGACAATGTGTTGATTGTGTGAATAATGCATTCCAGAAGCATCATGTTTTAGTAAGTAGGTATGTTGTATGTAGCCAGGTGCAACATTCATGCAGCCAAATCAGAAGCTATTAACATTGGGAATTAGTGACAGAGAAGCTGATACACTACACATCTACAATTTCAATTTCATTTTACATCTAACAGTTGACCACCAGCATGACACTTGAAGACACAAGGTTGCATCAGAAACCTTTGTTTCCAGAGCAACATCCCAAGTAGCCATGGCATAACATTTTAGAAGGGTAGCTGGATATTTTGAGTGTACTCAAGCATACGAATTCAGGATTAGACAGTTCAATAGTTATATGAAACAGCATATATGGTAAAGTGGAGATAAACACTAGGTTGAACTACCACTTGAATATAACTTTGGAAACACTTAGTTACTGGACTGAACCCATGCAAACTATCCACCTAAAACACCTCAAGATTTGTTTACTGATTGCCTCTAACATAAACTTTTCGGTTTGGCTAACTGATGTTGATGTTTACTCCACATCCAATATGCCTTGATACAACACGGACATTGAAAGATCTTCCCATGCACCGCTAAACGACAGCAAACAACAACAACTCACCATCGTAATCTACCTTCAATGTGACGCTTCTTTTCTTGTCGTAGTACACAATTATCCCTCCTCCAGTCACGAGCAGTAGTAGAAAACTGAGCCAAGACACCGGCCGCAAGGAAGTAGCAAGTGCTTCTGAATTAGCACGCATAGATAAATGACCTAGAAACAAGGACTGTCCTGTTTCATTGGGCTCTAGATCACTACTAATTCGTGCCATATGAACCATTTCAAAGCAATCACTTCTATTTGTCCTGAATAAGGGGGATCCAATAGCTTTGGGTTAGTGCAATCCATGACTTACCCCTCCGCGGACGGCTTTTCCGGCGTCCGCTTGCTCAGATTTCCCAGACTGACTGACCATCATCCCCTCCCTCGCCGCCCAAGCCCGCCGCCGCCGCGGCGCAGGGGCTTCGACCGCCTGCGCGCGCGCAGCCAGCAAGCGTCGCTGGAGAAGAAGCGCGCCTGCCCCAGGAACCCAGCTCCGAACATCTCAGCGCCACTCCCACAAAGGGCGAGCGGAGATCCATCGCTCGACGCACGCCAAGGACGGGGGAGAGCCGCCGAGTACCTGAGGCAGAGCGCGACCGCGAGGAGGGAGGCTGGGAGAGAGCGCTCGCGAGAGGAGCGCGCGGCCTCTCATCGCCTCCTCAGTCGTCACTCGCGCCTCGTCGCCGGAGTGGGAATAGTGGGGTGCTCGTCTCCGCAAGCTCGTGACCGCGGCTGCGGCGGCGCCGTGGGTTTTGAGGGGCTTTTCTATTCCGATACGTTTCGATAATCGTAGGCAGCACAGCGTGATTTTTTTATAGAAATAAATACAATACAAAATATATAATACAAGAACTTTGTCATCAACCGAGGAAGCAACGATCCTAACGACGGTTCATGGTTCCTAAGCTCGAGTTACTCGACTCACTTTGTCTTAACGATGGTTCCTAAGCTCGAATTACTTGAGCCTTATTGCTAGGCATGCATCTCAGTATTTCCCAAACGAGAGTATTGCTTTACTATACGGATTCCAGGAGTCTTGACTACGAGCACGGTTTGTTTTCCCTTATAATCCTACGTACTAGAAACTACGCGCGGCGTTGCAATCTCAAACAATGCAGCCACCAAATTTACTCAAACAGGTAACATCATATACTTTCCTAAGCACTATATCCTTTTGGGGAAAAAGTTTTTTATGACATTACAGGTATGACTGATATGTATAAATTAAATATGATTAAACAATGGTACAATTATATTTTTAAGCTTATATCCATATCCAATACGATGTACTACCTATACATGATTAGTAGTAATTATACGTTATGGTATGTACTGTTGCTTATTGAGTATATATGGATGATGTTATGATGCTTGTGCCAGATGTCCAGACAACATAATCAAGATGGAGGCGATGTGAATGTTCAGACTGACGACGAGCCATATGTATGTTTTAGTTTCCCACTTGCTTCGCCAGAAAAATCACTAAGGGGATATCTCCGTGTTTTGCGGATCGTACTACTTAGTACTAATAAGCGCAGGAGTGCCAGTATACATCCATATACAAAATAAAGTAAATGTGCAATAAAACACAGGGGCAAAAGTTCAGGGAAACATCGCTTTATTCATTCATTTGAGAATTACAAAGTACAATTTCCCACTTTAATACATGAGTTCCATCTGACAATCAAAGGATTGTGTGGCTTCTGGTTCCCAGGGCCTCTAGAGGCCTCTGGTTAATTACATCCGCAGCGTTGGACCGCAGAACACCTCCGATTAAGCTATGCCGATGGTCATCATTGTCGTCTCCAAATAAATAAAAGTTGTCTCCAAATATATGCATAAGCACAAATGAATGAAAATGGTGAAGTGCTAGAGCCTCGTCGGTCTCTAGCAAAGGTATTCGGCCTCGTCGTGCGGATCCCATAGTGAAGTCAAGTGTTCGACCTCGTCGGTCGCGAACAAATAATTCCGGACTCATCGGTCGCGGAAAGGAAACATCCCAGCCTCATCGGTCAGGGGAAGAAAATGACTTCATATGGTTCATCGGCCTTGACGGTGCGGAAAAGTGACGTGGTAATGGTGAGACTTGTGCTGATGTAGTACTCAGGAGATTTCTCCTTGCATAAATTTATGAGATCATTGGTGTGACACTCAGCCGCCTACCAATTCAATATATGCGCTTGAACTCAAGCGCTTTGTCATGACTTAGAATTATTTGCGGGCGTTGTATCCAAAATAGGTTTTAGGCCTTCTTGAGCCCGTGACGTGAATGGGCCGAGAGGTCAATATTGGGCCATCAACGAGCTGAACATATGTGTACATTGCACGTACAGCCTTGCATGGTACTACATCCCCTTTTATTTGCTTTCTTGCCGTATATTGTGCATGTACATGTATACACTTGTACACTGGTTGTGTTCCTGGGCCAACGAGGCCTAAGGCGAAGAGGTGTTGCCGGGTCGCGCCGCTCCGCCGCCGCGGTGACCATGACTGCCGTTCCGGCCATCGCCGGACTCACTGTTTGTCAAGCCGTATTTGCCACGGCCGTGGATCACCATGCCGGGGATTTGCATGTTCGCCGCTGCTGTAGATGCCGAAACTGCACGTTCGCCATGCTGCCGTTTCTACCAGGATGCCGCGGTCGTCGTGGAGACGCCGTGTTGCCGAGCCGCCGCACGTACGCCTTCGCCGTCGGGCCGTCGTAGGATGTGCCGGGCGTAGTCGCCGCCACTGGTGCAATACATGGCCAATCTTTTGGCATACGGTCGCCGCCGTCGAGATGGTTGCCGGCGCCATCGCCGTTCTGGCGCCGACAGGGCTCACTGGCTGGCCGTGGATTCAAGTGCATGATCTCCACATATGTATCTACGCCACAGCCATGCACAGATGAGAAAAACTAATCAGAATACATAAAGAATTTCACCTTCGAAATGAGCAGCCATGGCCTCGTTGATGTCGAGGGCCGGACGCCGACGGTCCAGGTGTTCAGTAGACTTTCGGCTCGCCGGAGATGATGTATGTGCTAGGCGGCGGCGTGCGTGCAGCCGGGCGGCGATGGATGGAGGTGTGGTGTGTGCAGCGTGGCGGCGGCCTGTTGGCGATGGAGATTGTGGCCCCGTTCGCTTGTCTGAAAAAAAGAAGCCAAAACATTGTAGCGGCTGGTTGTGTGAAAAAAAAAATACTGTAGCGACCGATTGATGAATAGTACCTGTGAGGAGGAACCAGCCAGCTGGTCTGAAAACCAGACCAGCGAACTGGCCCTGTGTGTGTTGAGACTTGAGAGGGAGGAAGTGCTCTCCTTTTATAGGCCAGAGCTAGGGTAGCGCAGGCTTGAGGCGGTGCCCAGGATGCGCCGCCATCGATCTGTTGCGGAGGAGCGTCGCGCGGCCGAGACGCACGGGAGGTGCCGTATTTCAAATTTTGAATTTACGTCTTCCGAGCGGCAAGCGGCCTATTAGAATTTTGAATTGATCCTATCTTCGGTGGAGCTTATCTCTTGGTAATCCAGCACGTGGTCCACAAATTTGGAGAAGGACGATTTTAATTATTTACCTTGCTAGCTGACTGATGGGCCCAACTAGATATGCCGGCGTGAGCTTTCTAGAAGCTTCATCGTCTTGGAGGCGGTGGAGTGCTGAGCGCCGGGCGCCGCATGCCCGTCCATGTATAGAAACTAGGAGCTTCTAGAACATCCTCAGCCCAGGTACAACACGTGTCGTCACAACGGTGTATTTTACGTGCACACGTATATATGTAGGCTGGCTTCAGAGTATGTATACGTGTGTAGACTTGTTAGCTTTCAAAGAAGCTAACATACACCTGCCCACGTACATGCTTGCATGGGCCATGCACGAGTTAGTTCTCAGGGCCCATAATTAAGATTAGTGCCGCTAATGGCCGGTACTAATCAGCGCAACTAATATGTCAAAATTTCCTCTTTCTCGTAAGAATACATATAATATTATAATATGCCAAAATTTCATCATACACCACTCGCCACCATATATTATTTGTCCTTCTAAATTTCCACAGTAAATTAAAATTCTGTGACCAGAATGCTTGAATATATATGCATGCCAACACGACATACAGTGGTATGATACTAGCTTAAGTATGTGTATATGACATATACATACGTCATCACACCCAGCATACACAAAACGGTAGACATAAATTAACACTTAACCATGTCCAAAAAGATATATTAAGATAATTACAAACATGAAAACTTTGTTGAAGTCGCCCCTTCAAAAGCTCATGTGAAGCTAGTAGCAAATTTTGCAGTTTGGGTAAGTAGTAACAAGGAGTCACCAGAATTACCTACAAATATTTGTGCATGCATATACTGTAGGTGGTAAAACACATGCGCCACCACTACAAAAATATTTCCTCATATGGCTAAGAAACAATATTTACATGTCGCTAACCACACCATTAAGACAAATGACGCATGTAGTCCTCTGTCGCGATAGCTTGCGCTTACTATACTTTAAACCTGGTGGTGGACACTAATGGTAGGGACGCATAAGATTGATACTTAGGACAGTATTACCTATATAGTACCTTGTAATCTAGGACATATTTTGAATGCTTCAATACCTTATATTTTAGGACTGATGAGTAATACTCTGATATTATTAATATAAAGTTTCCTTTCTGTATCTTCTTAATGAATTAATTTGTTTGCAGACTAATAAGGAACCCACCTTTATCTGCAGTCGATGTTGTCAGCGAATGGGATTCCTCGATGGTATAGATAGCTATCTGTCACAAAATCGTAATTTTGATGGTACACGTGACATGCATTTGGTATATAGATATATTGGATGATAGCATGCATGATTCATCGTAGTGGAGTCCTTGCAGACTCACACCTCTCCGGACCCTCATGCAGGGACCCTCGCGCTCACACGAGAGTACGTCATCTGCCATACCTGAACAAGACGACGCAACCTTCCACGTGCATCTGACATTCAACAATATTTTGGGCGCCTACCATCATCTTGTACCCACCGGCGTGGGCAGCAAGACTTAGCAGCAAACGTACTCCCTCTCACTCACTTGTAAGGCCATCCCCTTCATCTATAAAAGGGGATGCACTCTCTTTCAATAGATAAATTCATTCAGATCGATCAAGTTTACTAAAACACAGCAACAGAACCACCAGGTTCAAACCACGAGCACACGCTCGAACACTTAGCTCAAAGCAGAGCTCCTGTCACTCTCAGCCCTTCTGACCAGAGTCCAACCGTATCTCTTGTACCTCCATCTTTCTCCTTTTCGTTTGTAACCCCACTGCAAACTTCGAGCACCTAGGCTCAGAAATAAAGTCACCGACTGACCCAAACTGGACGTAGGACACGTTGCCTAAACCAGTATAAACCCTGTGTCATTGAGTGCTAGGCCACCTCCGATCACAACGTACGGCAGAACTACAAATATTTACGTGCTGGTCACTTTCTGCACAGACAAGTAGTCTTTTTTTTAAATTACACGGTACAACATTGACGCTCACAACTCGCACGTACACTCATCCCTATGAACACACGTACACAAACCCTACCTCTATGAGCACCTCCGAAGGACTGAGCCGACAGATCTCAACATGCACGCGCACTCACCCCTATGAACACACGTACACAAACCCTACTCCTATGAGGACCTCCGAAGGACTGAGCCGATAGCGTCGTTAAATTATGGAATAAATCCAGGAAGCACTCGTGCCAAGTCGAGGACTTAAATCTAAATAGATAGATTTCACAAAAAAAACCCAACCTACTAATGTATGATCAGTTTGCGGCGGGGGCAATCTTCTTGAGGAAGAAGTAGATGGTTTAGTGTTTTTTACAGCTTATAAGTTTCAATCTCTCCAAGCTAGCTATTTCTACTTTTCTTCCTCACGGGCCCACAGGCAGGCATTACATAGACCCAATCCGGGCCGGACAAACTCTGGTTCGCGATCCGGTGGCGAAAAAAATGGAGGGAGCCAAACAACTGCGCTGTGTGGAGTCCATGCATGTAGTGCTGGTTGGTTCACTTCTCTTCTGAATGGCTAGGTGTGGTTGCAGCAGCCAGCTCCAACCCGATTTTGGCTACACACATTGGTTATTTGACAAACAGTTATTGTTGACACAAAATGTGACGCACTGTGCTTCACACACAGCAAGCCGGAAAGCGTGGCTTCAATCGGGTTCCCAGGTGCTTCGTGACCCGGAAGCGTGCCAGTCAGTTTGACCTAAAAGAACTAACAAGGGATAAAACAGTTAAATGCCAGACCGGAACATGTCAGGTGAGACCAGACAGTTCCATATATACGGCCCTGAAGCCACTTACAACGACATACAGCTATAGGAAGCTGTCTGCCAACAAGTTTATAAACCATTCGGCTAATCGTAAGATGAACACACGTAAAGATCCGATTACCGAATGCATGTGCATGGGAAGACATGTTTGAACAAGTGAAATTAATTATGAATTAATGCATAACCAAGCTCAGCAATCCAACCGAGTTGGGATCCATGAAGAAGGAACGTGCAAATAAACACGATTAAACTAATCTAAAACCTGCATCTGCCGCACGACACCTAGTTCCGTCAAAGCTTAAACGTAATTATCATGCATGAACCCACAACATGTAACAATCTAGATTAAAATAATTCAGCCATTATGAGCATGTTATCTATTTGCAGAGGTAATATGACAGTAATGATCATTGAAGCACGAATAAAACCACAAGAGATGGCCGAATAATGTCAATCTAGATTGGGCAAAAAGTGTGTTACAAATATATGAAATATTTAAAACATGCAACACAGGATAACTTAATGAATCTATTTAGATTTTGCCGTATCTAATAGAGCCGATAACTGTCTTGCTTTCACTAAGCATATTGAGCAAACGCCTGCCGCACGGTATCTACTCAATAACAAAGCATAAGCAAAGACTTCTTGATTGTCAAGCAAAGATCCGCCGCACGATCATTGAAAACAAACAAGACTACTTGCATCACGTCTAAATCCACCGCATGATACTAAACATGATAACAAGGTTGTCAGAACTTACGGAGGTCGACGGATCGATGACTCCTCTCGAAGAACTCGACGACACGACAAAAGGACTCGAAAGTTGGCACGGGGCCGGTTGTATTGATTTGGTTGTGAACCTCTATTACAATGGTCGAGGGTCAATATTTATACCCTAGACAAAACACGAGTCCTAGAAGACTACGATTTACAAAGGAACTTCTAAACAAACTTGGAAACTTACGATTCCTTACCCTAAACTCTCAGAGTCCTTTATTATTACAACTTTCATCTTTTCGATCGGCCTTGCCTGCCATCTTCTGCTTTCCCGAATGGAGTCACCGCCTTCTGGAGTAACCGACCGCACAAGCATTTAGCCGACCGCTTGTTTTGTCTGCCGAATACCCTTCTTCCCGCATGCGGGTCCACCTGTCATCCTCCAGAATCGACCAAAATCCAGTGTTAACAGTTATACTCACTCGGTTCTAAATGAATAATATGTAGTCACAAAAAAATAAATAAATGAATAATATGTAGGCCATTAAGTTTTGTCGTCTCAATTCAAACTTTTCTAGTTTTGATCAAATTTATAGAAATAAACACCAAAATGCATTTTATAATGTTCTTATTTGATATTGTATGTGGTACTATACTTTTTTATAAAAAATAGTAGGGAGTTTGACTTAGGACAAAACTAAAACGCGTCTTCTTAATTTTGATATTACCCAGACACACCATGAGTTCTTCTATGTTATTTTTCACATTGTCACAGTAGTAGCATCCTTTGGACATCTGTCCTATATACTTTTCCTAAATTAAAACACTGACTACTAGAAATATACAATTTTCTCATATCTAATTTGTTTTCACGTCGACCCACCATACTTGAGGTGTCCCTTCAGAATCATAAGGTTTATCCT